AGAAAGAAAGAAAAAGAAAGAGAGTGAGAGAAAGAAAGAAAAAGAAAGAGAGAGAGACTAAGCTAGTTTCATCGATGAAGCTATAAAACACGAATCATAGCAACTCATGCTTGATTAAACAGTGATAATGAAGCGAATACATTTGTGTGAGTATGAATATCAGAGAACATTTCGTGTGCAAAAAATCTAACTGATTTTTTTTTATTGCATAAATTTAGCATAGGCTAGGTATCTTTGGCGCCAGTAGATTATACACCTCAAGTAAAATGTGAAAATCTTGCACGTGATTATCAATAATGAAGTAAAAAAAATGTAATAAAAGCCATCTTACCATCGTATCTTTTCGATTAAATAAATAACTAAAATAACTTTGCATCTATCGTATCCATTTGTCGAATTTCCTTCTTCAACAGCATAATCTTAGGGGGAGATTATTGTGAGGCAAATATAAATTGACTGGCGAAAACTATCGAAAAATATTGTGGTGTACTGTACAAATCACGGCTCTCTCTCTCCTCTCTGTCTCTGTCTCTGTCTGTCTGTCTGTCTCTCTCTCTCTCTCTCTTGTTTTCTTGTCTTTTTTTTTTACTGTTGTTTCTATATTGTGTTTTCTACATACATATAAGTTTGATGGCCATCAATGAGATCTTGCCTGCCGAGGACGTAGGCCAAGAGAGCATTCCACGCCGTGAATCCTGCTTTGAGGACCATGCAGTTCGACACACGGTATTTGTCCACGATTTCGAACCTTTACATTAGGAGAGAGATTATTGTAGGTGGGGTAGTGGCCGCGCGTGGAATGTTTTAGGCTTTGGGTAAAGGAGGATGTTAGTGGTGGTTGGGGAAAAGTGTAGGCTCTTATAGTGGTGATGAAGTGTTTAGGACATAGGTAAAGGAGGGTATTAGTGGTGGTGAGGAAAAGTGAAGGCCCTTATAGTGGTGAAGTGTTTAGGACATAGGTAAAGGTGGTGGGGGAAAGTGAAGGCCCTTATAGTGGTGGTGAAGTGCTTAGGACATAGGTAAAGGTGGTGGGGAAAAGTGTGGGCCCTTATAGTAGTGGTGGTAGTGAAATGTTTAGACCATAGGTTAAAAATCATATTTGCGGTGGTGGTTGATTGTATAGAAAAACAAATAGATATCTGGGTAAACAGATTAAGATACACATTTACAGAAAGTCTTCGTACTTTTGTGTGGAGAGAGATATTGGTTGGCGTTGGGGAAGTGTCTAGAAACAAAGATAGCTATATAGTTCGGTAAATAAATAGATTAACAGTTTCGAATCCTCATGATAGGAAAGATATTTTTAAATGAAAGAGTTGGTCATGAAATGTCTAGATCAGTGGTTCCCAAACTGGGGTCCATGTAGCAGAATGTAGGAGACCATAAGCTCAGGATATGAATATATAAAATCAAAGGAGTTTAGCGGGAAGGAAGTCAATAGAAGGAACATACAGGCTCAGTACAGCAGGTTTTTGCAATGACTTTCTGTCAGACGCATGTGTGATACATTCCTTTTTTATCTGTTGTGTTCTTGACATAAAAGATATTCAGACATATTAGGGTAGTAAATAATTTAATTTTTACATATTCTAATGTTTCCTAAGCCATGTTTTATTTTGTTTTTGTTTGTTTATTGATGAGAGAGATAACGATTTTTTAAATTTTATTACCCAAAGTATGGACATTTTTTTTCATTTCTTTTCATGATGTTATTACAATATCAATAATCATATGAGATTTCAGCAAAGGCAGATTACAGATTTCCTCACTGATACTTACTAAAAGACAAAAATAATGTGGATATGCTAGAGCGTATTCCATATGGAGACAATGAGTGTAGAACAGTCGACAGTCACTGGACAGGGATCATGTATGGAAAGTGGGTAACAACAACAACAACAACAACAACAAAGTTTGTAAACCACTGGTCTGGATAGATAGCTAACAAGGTAAATAGACATAAAGATTGATAGATTATAGTATACATATGTAGAAATTTAAATATAAATATGAAAAAAGACACGAAAATACTGTAAATAAGGTTTTGAAAATAGACATTGCCATTTAACCAACAGGGATTAACAGTTCCGAATTTTTATGATAGGAAAGATATTTTTAAATGAAAGAGTTGGTCATGAAATGTGTAGGTCTGTGGTGTTGTAGTAAATAACGAACGAAAATATGTTATAGTACATTCTTTATATTTGTAATTTAGTTATGTTTAAGGCTGTGTATGAGTGTTTGTGTGTGCGCGTGCGTGTAAGTGTGTGTGTGTGTGTGTGTGTGTGTGTGTGTGTGTGTGTGTGTGTGTGTGTGTGTGTGTGTGTGTGTGTGTGTGTATGTGTGTGTGATTATCAATAATGAAGTGTGTGTGTATGTGTGTGTGTGTGTGTGTGTGTGTGTGTGTATGTATGTGTGTGTGTATGTGTGTGTGTGTGTGTGTGTGTGTGTGTGTGTGTGTGTGTGTGTGTGTAAGTGTGTGCGCGCGCGCGTGTGTGTG